GCGCGCTCCGCGAATCGAATCGCCCAAGGAAGCGCAGCCGAAATTACCGTGGCCGGGCTATTAAGGATTGAAATCGTGATAACCACGCGTTGGCAGTACGCAAGCGCGGCTTGTTATACCGATCAGGATATTAATACCTGTTTGCCTCGAAGGCGCCCCGGCCGAATGTGAGCTTGATGGGAAAACGGCACACGACTCCGCGAGAAGATCGGATCGCGCGAAAGGAACGAAAGTTGCATTTCCGGCGTTTCGAGAGAGCTCGTCGACCTGAGACTTGGAACCGCTGGTTTCGTTCGTTCGTTGATTCGTTCAAAGAAGCTGACGCGATAACGCCAATCAAAACCGACGGGCCGACGAATTAAATTATCAGCCTGCTAAATCGATCTACTTTTACATCTCGCGTGCAATGACAAGCTGTATATATCGCGATATTCGTTGCAAACATGCGCGCGCGCATTCGGACCGATGTGCGCGGGCTATAAGGTGACGTTGTCGCGTTATACGGTGAGTGAAAGTAGTGACCAACCCACGAGAGGCATTATTTAATATCCTAAGTCCCGAGTACGTTGCCGTAGAAAAAAGGAACTCGACGACGTGTCCAGCCGGCGCGAACCACTCGAAAGATTTGAAAATCGCGCGGTCGCTCGTGCGAAACGAATTGCAACCGTCGACCGTTTCGAAGAACGTACCGGTTATTCGATAGGTGTGTATATGGCCATATATAAATCGCTCTTATCGTATCGGCTCTTTCATTTCTTCGAGCGCTATTCGGATACATGTGGATTGTGCGCTTGCACATTGCGTTGATTTGCCGTCCTATGTGTTCGACTGCCTCTAACTGTGGCTGACTCGGACATTGGACAAATAAAAATGCGAAGCAATCTTTAATATCGAATTTCGTGGAAACTAGATGAAAGATAGTAAGGAAAGAACCTCACTGTAGATTATTTATCGGAATTACGAAGAAGAAATGATGCGATGGCGAAACATCTAGTGATACGCTCGTATTACTTATCGCATATTTTCTCACAGTTCGTAATTGGAATCACGTCCAATTACGTATAAAGAAATAGAAACCGATTTAATAAGTTCGCAGAATATTACGTTCGCTTATATTAAACTCATTAATCTCGGTGATATGAATATATAATGTCTTATATTTTAGCAAAGAATTGATAGCCAACATACACACGTATGAATTGTATTTCGTGCGTAGTAAGATCTGCGAAAGAATCGCCGAATTGTCTCCGTCTCCTTGCGAAAGATCGATCTTTTCCCGCGGACTTGCCGCGACTGAAACACCTGTAGAAACGCAATCGCGCGTGATTTTTGTTTGCACAGGTACGCGCGAGAACGCGTGCACCTGCGTGCATGTAGAGCGGAACCGCAGCGGATTTAAAGTAAAATAAACGGAAAAGTCAGAGCGAAGGAAAGAGGCAGCGAGACTAGATGTAATTATGAATTGAATGATTGGCAAATCGAATTAATAGTTAGAAAAAATTATCAGAGAGTGATCTCTAACACGAGGGATCTAGAACACGTTCATGTGACAATGAACAAGTCCGACGTATAATAATCTACAAAATGTTCTTTAGACATGTTAGGCGTGTGACACAACGTATCTAAAGAAAAGATCTCCTTGCGTTTTTCTCTTTAATAATCGTAACACAAAGTAATTTGCCGGATTACATAAGATTGTTTACTGGATAATAACACAGTAACGTTGTGTGTTTTCCTCACAGCTGTCGATCATTTGGGCTTGTCATTCGTCATGGGTTTTATTTTCCCTGATACATAAATATAGATACCGATGATTCTCCTTTATTCATCTACGGCATTGAAAATAGCAGCAACTTTTCTGCGAATTTACGTCAGGAATCGATGGTGGCGTTTTATTTCTCGTCTAATTTCAATTAATATCAGCGACAATTGCAGAAATGTACATTTCACATTGCAGAGTCTAAAGATTAATTGCTCGGAGGCTTCTCGTGTAGACGATAGAAAGTCGTTCCAGGACACACTTACATAAAGGTAAGCATAAAATTGATGAGATATATAGACAATTAAGAATCGCGGAAAGAAAAACCGCTGCAATTCGTTAGCTTAACTTTCGATGGACACGAGAAACACGGTCGTTTCCTACGAATATATGTAACAACCTCGCCGATGCCTTTACGATTTCCGCGGTAATTCGTAATTATTCGTCGCGTGTATACGTGATGCGCCTATCGATCGACCAAACTCGGTGGAAGTTGGCAGGGCACCAAGTTGGTAACTTTCCGGCTTCTTACGGGATAATCTCTTAGTATTCAGGCGCCTCCGCGGCCTCCGCAAATGGTAGCGGTACGATTAGATGTACACAACGGGATTCGTCCGGAGTTTGCATATTTTTGACAAGTAAAATTGCTCAAACTTTCGAGTCGGTATTGAAAAGATTTGACGGCGACATGTCCTCTTTCTCTGTCCAAGTAATGAAATAATTGCGGACTCCAAGCTCGGTTCGACACGGACCGTCAGTTTTCTTCGAGATCGAAGCTTCGATATCGGTTGATTTTCGCCGCAGTGCTCGTTCCGCGGCTACTTTATGCTTTAATCGAACGATGACGAAACACCGTCGTCGTGTCTCATTAGAGTTCACGATGCGAATCGCGATAAGATATCAGCCGACTTGGGAGTCGTAAAAATTGAAATGTCAACCGAACTGACCGCAACCGCTGACCGCAAGTTATGCGGGCGTAGCGAATTTAATTTCGTTCGGTATGGCGGACGGACGATGGTAAGCGATGGCGAGCTTATGCTTGACGGTTGACGAAAGTCTGACTTGCGAAAGGTCACATCGCATAATGAATGGCAAATACGCCCGTCGCACAATCCACGTCAAATGTCAACAATTTACGCGAGAGACGGAAGATCGCGCGTAGCTGCGTGACACACTCTCTCTCTCTCTCTCTCTCTCTCTCTCTCTGCGCATCAGAAGCGGAGAGTAAACGAAACTGAATGGAAAAAGTAACGAGTTCTCGCCGGAAGTAACGTGATCTGATCAGCGAATTGCACGTTACGTCGTGAAACTGCGAACTTCCCGCTCTGATCCATATTCAGATGTCCGATGTTGCGCGAGAACGCGCATAGAAGGAAGTCGTAACGCGCCTTTATAGCACTGTCTGTATCCACTTTCCAAGTGTTATTCGCGCGAATACGCGCCGCGGAATGCCGTACACCCGAAACTTTCGAAGCACGCGCATCTAAAAAATCTCGTTACAATATTCATGAACGAAATAATAACGATGTCGAAATATATCGCAGCTCATTACCGACACGCGAGCAATTAATAAAATATCGGTAAGGAAAGAAGCATTTTTTACATCCGCGCGGAGAATAATTTTAGAAGGATTTACCCGCGTGTATATACGGGAAGGGCAACGCACGTAGCAATTCCAAGTATTTCAGGTGGCGAAGAAGTCATTAAACTATGCGATATCTTCATCGTCTGGAAATGTATATACACTTTCTCGCGGGGCGACTGCCGCGGTTATAGAGGTGTGTAACTCGGAGCGATCGCTAATAAACGCGCGTGTAATTGTTGTCTGCTGCTTGTGCTCTGACGAATAACGCGCATACACATACGCGAACATACATTCTGTCTTCCTACCGTGCTATTATTCACGCCGTTGTGTTACACAGGCGGCTGGCTCATCCGCGCCTTCCTCGAAGGCGTCCCGGAACGTCGCATAGGTGCAATCGCGAATGTCTTTGCAACTGTTAAAAGAGTCGCGGGAGAAATGTCGTAATCGAAGAATTAGACGAGTCGCGACGATTCAATGGAGATTCAAGAACCGTCGGAAGCAACGACACGTGACTGACATAACGAGACAGCCTGCATTGTAATAAAAGCGCGTTACCTAATAACTCGGCGAGAGAGAATAAATCGCACGCTCACACGCGCGATTTTTCTCCGCTCTCTTTAACCTTTCGATTTTTGACCGTTGCGTATCTCCGAGGGACTCAAATGAAGTCATATATCTCTTCACTCGTATTTCACAGCCTCGTTGCCTTCAGCGCTACCTCTGTTGCGCGTCCCCCTGCGCTCGCGAGCTCGCCTCCCCCCCCCCGCCGTTTGTTCTCTCATACTCTTTCCCTCTTTTCTTTCGTTTTCTTTTTTTATCGCGACTAGAGGCTCGTCGCGCACAGGGAAACGATTTCGAATCACGCCGCGGCACTTTGTTACCGCCGGTGTCTACCATCGCGGAATGCACGCTACCTTGTAAGGACTTGCACATGTTACGCACGGAGGAGTATTGCTGCGCGTGTACGCGCTTACATCACGCTCGCGGGCAAGCGGAGAAAACGAAGAGATGCTGCGCTTATTCGCTGTATATATTGCTAGTCGTTTGTGCTTGTCCCGCGAGAGAGCACGTGCTCTCTCTGTCCCTCTTTACCGCGGGAGCTTAACTCCCGCGTGGCTGCGCATCGACACGCGCGCGTTTAATAGCACGGAAGACGCAACTTTGCACGTTATGTATAAAGGTTATAAAAATAGACGTGCAAATAACACCTAATCCCGCAGCCGGAGAAGCGAATCACGTGCCGTATCTTCGCGGATTCGAGCAAACCACTGGAAATGTCTCATTTGATAGCCGCTTCTTGCATCGCATGACCCTCAATTATTTCGTCACACATGATGCAATTTTGTGAAATTCTTCCTGTGTTGAATTATATCCACGTCTGTGTTCTGCCAAATTCTGATTTTCCACGTCGAACCGCTCGACAAGCATTTCGATGAAATCGTTTCCGTCTCTCCCGACCCCGCCTGCATTATCTTTCTCACACTAAGCAATTTCGCGCTATTATTTCTACGCGTCTGAATTCCGCGTGGAAGGAAGCTTGACCTTCCCACGATAACGCCGAGCGAGAGCGCGCAGGAGCGGTGAATGTGTGCGGCGCGGCGTGTGATGTAGGGTGACGCGGGCTTTCGCGATGCATTACGCTGCAGCGCCTCGCGGAATGCAGGCGGGACAACGACGAAGACGACGACGACGACGACGACGACGACATGGACCGTGCTCCCGATAGCGAACCCTTACGTACGTGTTCGAGATTTTATCTGTTGGCTCGTACGTCTCTCCGTCGGGAGCTCGATATTGTGTCGCTCGCACGCTCACGCCATAAAGATCCGAACGCCAATTATACGCCGATCAGCCGCGTTTGCATGCCGACACGCATGCTGGCATACGCAAGCCTCTCCTCGGGGATTTCGCAGCGACCGAAATGCGTACAGGGCCGTTCCGAGACCTTCGTTATGCGGATAAACGTTTTGTATTTTGTAGGCGTAATGTCGCATCGGACGTATATTGGCTGCACCACCAGTCAATGTCTATGAATATTATCCATATTTTCAATATTTCCGTAAGACAACATGTCTTTTTCTCAAAAGTGAATGCAAAATTAACACTGCTGCGAGCCTTTGAGAAAATTATTCTACAATTATATACCGAACGAATTATGTATCGAAGCTAATATTTGATGGTCGTCCCATGATCGGAAAAGATTCTTTCATAGAAATCTATCAGATAGACGGCCCTGAGAAAATGTACATATATGTGTGTGTGTGTGTGTGTGCATCACCAAAATGCACCGGCAAAGCAAATCGCGTGCATGTCGTGGGCGACATGTGAAAGACCAAAGCGATACATGAATGTCCCGAGTGAAAATCGTAATTAATCACTCTTATACTCGTGGGAGCGTGAATAATCGTTGATTGACGGTTCTCCGCGCCGGGCAATCACTTAATCGCCCCTTCGGAAATGTTCCGCACACCCACTTCACGGTGATCTCCTGTGATTTCCGCGGTCTGCGAATTGCTCTATGAACGCGACGTGTCCGCTATGTGACATTGATGATTACTCATATTCGCATAAATGGAAACTGGGTAAAGTCAATTAAAAAAAAAAGAAAGGAAAGAAAAAAAGAAAAATGTGACAGGCCTCGTGTTTTCTTGCAATGCTGATCGATTACTAATTGTGTGACTGGTTAACTCGAAGCGTTCCTATTGCTTCAACCTGACGTTTAGCAGAATTAACTATCTTTTTTATAACGGAAATTACGTATAGCAAAGTAGCTGGAGATGTGAAGTTAAAGAAGAAAATAAAACGTATTTTTGCATCTAAAGATCTGACACATGGCAAACGGGATTTTTTTTTCTCAACATGTAACAGTTAATTTTAATGATGATGATATGAATTATCATCCACACAGGATGAATTTTTTTTGAAAATACTTTCTCTTGCATGTCTAACTAGTCAGTGATATCCTCGAAAGAAAGAAAGTTAGTCGCGAATCGATATAATTATCTAAAATCGTCAACGACGGATGAAGAAACGGCTCGAAAATTTCCAAGTGTAATTAGTGTCCATTTCATTTCAATATACGATTCAATTTGCCGAAAGCGAATCGTCGGGTTACGCCCTCGATGAGTCGCGATTATTATCGTAAAAGGCGGAACACAAGCCGCTCGTTAAGTTCATTAACGAGCTGCGAGTATCTCTGCCCTTTTCTCTCTCGTACTCGAGGTACCGTTAAGAAGTATCAGTCAGGATACTAATATGCTCTATACCCGTCAATGCTTACGTAATGTTGCGAGTATATACGTAACACATACATGTATTTAGATGCAATCGGATTTAGATCGATGTAATACCAAACACAAGTGAATTTGCGATCAAAAATAAATAGCCAGACTAATGTTCTTTAAATTTTCTTTAACTATAACGCTCTAAATAACTCTCTCTGTCTCTCTCTCTCTCTCTCTCTCTCTCTCTCTCTCTCTCTCTCTCTCTCTCTCTCTCTCTCTCCCCCCCTCCCTCTCTCTCTTTCCCGTATACAATGAAGTTGGAATTTGCATCGGTTGGAGTATAATTTAGAATAGAAGAATATGAAAATGCAATTGTGTCTCATGCTGTCTTAGTCACTATTAATCGTGAGAAAGGTCGTAACACGCGTCGGTGAACCTTTGTCTCACTTTGTACACGCTCTTCGACTCGTACTTCCTTTCGAGCGATTCGCCCGAAGAGACTCGAGAATCCCGCGAACGTTACTGCAACGTAATGCTTCTTACGAGAGCATTTTTCTCGCTTTATCTTCGAAAGTCATTCCACGCTTTCAATCTAATTACGAAATGTAGCGTGAAATGTCGCCGGGATATTTCTACGGTCGGTGACACCTCTTATATCATGATCGAGCAAAACGCGAAGGCATTTTGAGACTCCGTTCATGCAACGAGCGAACTTTATGTTGAAAGGCGAGCGCACGGCATTGCGTTTGTTCGTTAAACCAGTTTCGTTAGCGTCAATTACAGCCGTTCTCGATGCCTGTTCAGTGATCCGAGTCCAAACTTTGGTCCTGCATTAGTCCTGTAAATTTCGTTGAACCTGAAGGGCCGGATGCTTTGAGCGATGCTTTACATGTGTATCGTACGTGCGAATATCCTAGTGAATTGATAAATTAATTATTTGACTGTTTCGAAGCTTTGAAATGTTTTGAGAATGTTAATGAATCTGATCTTTGGACCACCGTATTTATCCTTCATTGATTGGCGGGAATGTGGCTTTCCGAAGTTCTTTCCGAAGGGACATATATTACGACGCGGAGCATATTTATATCGATTCTTTGCTTGAGTATAAAAAGACAAATAACGATATCTGTAACATTACAAGATAGGGCAATAATAATAATAATTTGCGTGGTGTTATATCTCAAGATTCTTCATTACTCTTTCATTACTTTTTCAATTTTGATATAATATGATGATATTTACATGATTGACGTAGAATCAAAGTTTCAAATCCGGGGCTTATTAGATATTACATACGTTCTTACGTACGTCTTGCATAATTCACCTTATACCTAATAACTGAGCTTACGGTATCTTTAACTGGTAAACACTGGTGAACAAAAAGACGCATATTAAATACCATTTTATTCATTACGTAGTTAAATATATCGTGTGTATAAATAAAAGTTTAGTTACATCTACGAAACCTGAATCTAAACTTGTCTGTTACAAATGCGCAATACATAATAATCTTATACAATAAAATATTTAATTCGTGATTAAATCAATTTTGCGCGGGCTTGATAAAGACATTAATCGATCAATCTTTGCGCGGTGCTTTGTATTTATTTACTTCAATGTAAGACAGCGCGTGTTGCGTGACGCAACCGTTCCCAGACCAACAAATAACTCTGCGATATACCGGGAAATTTTTGTTCGTCATAGAGTTTATATGTATCGTTCTATTATCTGCAAAAGGGTTTGCGCATAAACTTCAAAGTTCTTTCTTCGCGAACGTGCGGAGAATTTACGAATCGACGAATCTCGTCAACTGCAGTATCGAGTTTGTTGAACGTAGCAACCTGTCTCTTTAATTTCCCATGAGCATTAAATTCGCTGAGAAAGACAGAGTTCGCGATTCACAAAAAGTGGGCCAGGTGAAACAAAACCTGTCAGGCGCAACGTCGGGTGTATCTCCCTGTCCAAATTGAGTTGCTTAAAATGCGCAATTAAAATTGTCAGAGTACGTGAATTATCGAGTATACTTTAGTGTGACCGAAACAAAAAGAAAAATAATTAAATATAATAATTGGTTTCTTTCGTAATTTCTTTTTTCTCGTGTTGCTATTTTCGATAAAGTATAAAGCAAAATACGATTGATCTCAATAATTATGGAATATTATTTAATTTATTAGGAAAATGTATGTGCGTGTATACATGTGTGCATGTATGCGCGTGTGTATTAATCGTACTTTCCATGTCTTCGATAATTTTAACTAGACTTTGTAATATCGCAAAAGCGATTAACGTGCACCTTGCAATATTAAACGACGAAGTCCCGTGTAACTTCAAAGAGTTTTATCGTAATTAATGTTGGCGACTGTCATTAATGGCAATGAATCTTCTGGACATTAGCGATCGGTCAAACCTGCTAATTATTTGTAACATTATCGAAAGTTAAACGTCTCGACATTTCAGCGAAAATGCAGTTAACATTTTCGTCCGCATCACTTTCATTCGCACGCCGAGGGAAAGTCTTTCCTGACTCGTACGTCAGAATTAACTCTCGTACTTTATTTTTAGATTGCAAGTAACCTCGGTCATTCACTGCACGTGTGATGCACCAATGTTTTATTAATTACGCGATGATCGTTTTGTGCGCAAAAGAATTTGTTTATATCGAGATGATTTAGCAACATTTTTCTAAACAATTTTTTATCTTTTATACAATCCAATTTTTTGTATTTTTCATTTTGTGCGTTTTGACAGTTTGAAACGTTGAAATGAATACAAAAATATTGTAAAACTGTGTAACGTTTTACCGTTAATATCGCGGTGTAGAGGACGTTAAGTAAACAAACATGTGTCACAACGGTATTTACAAACATGTCTTGCCGGTTGAAGGACTTGATACGACTTTGAAAACAATAATATATACGGGTACTCAGTAGGCGAGCAACCATAACAATTCGTGACGCGAGAGTACGCATTTCGGGAGATGTCGCGCGTGATTCCCGAATTTTCTAAATCGGTTAAAGCATTATGCGAGACGAATTGCGTTACTTTTTAATAAAACTACGTACGTATAGTGTGTATTATTGTGTTAGTGTCATCTCGGATAGTGACAGGATTCTGGAATCTTAAGGGTGATTATTCGTCATTTTTATTCGATTAAAAGAGAAATATATACATTTTGAAACCCCCGTATCTTTGATGTTCGACATCTATCAATATTACGACTAATTAGGGAATTTGCTTTTTATTTCAGATTCATCAGAACTTGTGACCGTGTGATGGATGCAGTTTCCTGGGGTGCAGTTTTGGCGAACCGGAGGATCCGGTTCTGGCCGAGCAGGGTCAGCTCGAAGGTAAATAGACAACCTTTACATATTCTTTCGTTTAACTCTTTACGATCGAAAATTTGAGCATAATTAAATATTCATCGTTGAGTTATAACGATTGTTCTATTGTTCATATCATCTACATTTAACGACTTCTCAAGTCATGTACTCTCTTATCTTATCATTGAAATAATATTTCTTTTGTAGATCTGTAGCTGAACATGTGGCTGGCCCTGAGCTCTCGGTCTTTTGGTGAGTGAAAAAATAGAACAAATAAAGGATAATATTGCTTTGGTGGTGGCTGTTTACAAATTATCATTGAAATCAATGCGATTGTAGATTTTTGCATGTTGGGTTTCGCACACACACACACATATATATATATATATATATCTGTGCTGTTCGGCAAATTACACTGCTCGAAGTAATCAGGAGATCGCTTTTTTATTGCTCGTATAATTTAAGAAATACTTAAGCCAGATCATATTTCTTCCTAAGAGAAATTTGAACGTGATCTCCTAATTGGTTCGCTCATGTAAAATATAAAATGTGTACCAAAGTGCACGTTAAGGCGCATCAAAGTGCGCATGAATCAATTGCGCCATCATACACGAAATTCGCGACTACTTATTTCGATCGCAACAAATTTTACGATTAGTTTCTTGAATTTTTTATACACAATGAATCGTCATTTCATTCCAAATTGATACTCAATTCGATACGTATATTCAACGTTCTTCTTAACAATTAGAATTTTTGTGAAACGAGAATCATTGACGGAATATGATTGTTCGCGAGTGGTAATTTTTGTTTCTCTTTCAATCTTACCGGAAGCGCCTTCGTTAGCGAATTGTTGAAGATTTTTTACTCGTGTTTCACAACTTACGAGTATACTTTTCCGCTGGATAATGAAACTTTCTGCGCACGATTCGCGACTTTAAGTATATCTGCGAAGCGAAGTATACTTATCACCTTATCAAAATGTATTGCGCTTCTTATAAAGTTGTAAAAATATACCCACAGTCGTCTCGCGTTAAGATTACTCGCGGTTATTGGAATTGTTCGGGATCGCGATTACAGTGTAGGTACTCAGTCAAAAGTGATCGACGTGGAACAAAGAAACATTTCGGCGGCTGGATGCTGAAGATGCTGGACGGATGCTGTCGGACAGGGAGACTTAATCAGATTGCAGCGCTGTGCATCTGAATCGCTAGACATCGCGGGATATCATCGTGAACTGGTGAATAATACTCACAATGAATACTCGCAAAGAGTCTTATTATTATGTAGTGCACGCAAAGATCGCATTGATTTCCAGACACGAAATATTTTTATTGTTCTATATTCCTCTCTCCTCTGACAAAACTCGAAGTTATTCGAAAATATTTAAGTGGCTCACAGCGCAGCAATGTGCGCGCTTGTAGAGTAATTAATTAATTATGCCTCATAACACAATCGTCTCGGTCACGGCGATTTATTCATAAACATAATTACCTTAATTGAATATATCATGAAAGATGACTCGCAATCACGCATACACGCACACGCAATCGTCGATTTATGCGTCTCGTGTGCGCTCGCCGCACTTAAAGCGTCCGCCTATCGTATAATGTAATCGATCGTTCACTACCCTCGCACACAGTTTGCTCCGTTAAGCGACCCCTCAGAAAAATACTAAACGCCGGCCAACGGGAACGTGTTACATCGTAATTAGTGGCGTCGATGCGCGTCAACCAATGCGCAATTAAATCTTAAAGACTGTCGGCCACGTAATCAGTAATCTCGCGACGCGGAAGTTGCGCGGGCTAATATCGACATTAATGACGTGACGGCGACAACGTATCGGTACAGCCGTAGACATTTCGGATTTTGTTCCCGTTAATTATGCCGCTCGCGCCGTTCGGTGCGGCGCGCTTACATAAGCACACTGTCTCGATACATTTCCAACGAGTCGGCTGATCGAAGTAAAAGCGTGCGAGAGACTGCGTGGACACGCACGGTCATTCCGCGAATTTTCTTTCATCTTCGTATACTGCAGTGGCGAGCGTTGTAAACAGCAACAAATATCTCGCACATTTCGGCCGTGTGATTTCCTGGAAAGATATCGACGTGTTCATGCGCGAACCTTCGTTTCACGAAGCACTTAATAATGCGACTTATCGCGGTCGAGCTGTGCGCACGTTCGCTCTTGTAACATCGCGAGGCGACTCGCGAACTCACGCGAGGCAGGTAAGAGCAAACGCGTTACGATAAAATTGACAGATTACGGAGAAATAATGTGCACTCAAAAATATCTCACTGTTAGTTGGCAGTTAGTCGTACCTCGTCGGACTCTTTTATGCGTCCAGTGTTCTCAACGATTTGCTTAGCTGTGATATTATAGATTTCGTCCATGTTTCTCTCCTTCGACTTTCGACGCACGTCGTTTTCTCGTTCCAACTCGACCACGAACCTCGCCTATCGCCGCGATCGCGATGCGTAAGATCCCGTTATCATCGATCCGTGCCTCGCGGACTCGCATGACGATGACTGAAAGCAATGACGCTTTCAGTCGCCCATTAAAATCCCCCTAACTCGTGTCCTTCTTCGGCCAATATCAACCAAAGCGTCGCGGCCAAAGTAGATTTAGGTCAAGTTTCGTTTCTGCGAAGGTCTACCGACTAATCGTTGCTCGCAAAAAAATGACTCCTTACTATCTCCCGTCGTGATTAATCTGCAATCGAGCGGCAATCGACGCGCGTCGGCGCGTCAACTGTCCAAAAATAGCGCGCAGCCGCTTTTTTCCTCCCCTCTCTTTTTTTTCTCCTCGTCCGCTCGATCATTATACACGACGTATGTCGAAAGTGTCGAGAGAGTAAAAAGAGAGCACGCTCTCTCGGCGCTGAGCAGCGTCTCGCGTATATAGAACCCAGACGCCTGCATAGATCAAAGCGGATTTTGCGGTAGATTCCGCATTTCTCCGTCACGCGCCGATTTATGCCGCATTTCTCCGCACGGTAGAATTCCGCGCGCGCGCGCGCGAATCCAGAAACGAGGACTTTGTGTCTCGAGTTATCCATGAAGCAAAATTGGCTTGCTGCTTGCCTGTCTGCCGGGGTCTGTCGCAGCCGCCGTTTCGTCGCGGCCTCGCGGTTAACGCTCGCCTTTATCTCACGATAAACGCGAACGTTAACGTTATTTTCGCAGCGGGATATTAATACCGCCGTCGCGAGAAAGGTGTATCCTGACGAGGCATGATGTCTGGCGGGAAACACTCGTGGAAGACCGACGGTTGTTCCGTTCTCGTGGCGCGCAGCCGCGCGTTATCGCTTTCATCGGGATTTTTACTAATGTCGTAGATACGACGCGATGATAGACATGACGCGTGGGTCTGCCTCAGCATTGTCGATCGCTGAAGTGTGTGCGAAATGGTAGAGAGAAACGGCTCTCTGTGCGATCTCTCTCTCTCTCTCTCTCTCTCTCTCTTTCTTTTTCTCTCTTTCCCTCTGTCTCTAAGTCTTCTCTTTCTACGCAACGCTCCGGCACTTGTCGACCGTGCGCGCTATCACATGAAAGTGCGAAGGAACCAGCGCACGCTGAATAAGTGAAATGTGTTCCCTCGTCATGCGTGAAAAAAGGAAAGATCAAACATCTGCCTCATCTCGCATCTTTCTCGCGAATTCGGTTGATTCTCGCTTTGCTTGACATTCTCGCTTGGAATTCATACTCTATTTGTAGTATCTCTCTTCTGTTCTATCTTATTTTGCCGATCACGTCGCCGCGCGTCGTCATGTCCGCGCTCTGTCCGCGGATATTTATCTGGTTCGCGTCTGGGCCGTCAGAAAAAGTGCCGTGTATCGTGGAGCGTCCGACATTTTTTATGCATTGACCCACATATATCGTGGGTACGAAGGATTCCTCGGAGCGACACGATTTTCCTAAAGAAGAAATGTCGCTTGCGATTTTCTCGGAAAACCACCCGACCATTGTCGAGCACGGCACATCGCGAGAGGCGCGAGCGCGTAAATGCGAATCCACTGGCGCGACTGAATCGATTTAAGCCGCCGCGAACATGACATCGCGCGCGCGCGTGTCACTTTGTAAAGTTTAATCGCTCGTTCGCGCGCGTTTTCAGAGATTACGGGGAAATCTTGGTATGGTTACCTTCGCTTAGAAGCGAAGCATTTCCCACGAGTTGCGCGAAGCAAGCAAGCAAGCAAGCGCGCAGACCGATAAATTCTCTGCCGCTTGCGCTCTGTCGCCTCCACATCGCGAGTTACATCAGCTTTAAATGCTTCAACAAATTCGACATCGATCTTCCCCCTTTTCTTCCGACAAAGATTTTCGCCGACGGCAAATCGGCGTTTACGTAAGTGTAATTAACGGCGGAAAAATACGTTTAATTACCGAGACAGCCGACGTAGAGAAAACTGAAAACTCTCGTCGCAGGAAGCAGGAAGGTTCACCCCATAAATCTAAATCTGATCGCTAATTGCAAAATTGTGACTACTCGATATACTCGGCGCGCTAATGAAGCGTTGGGAAATAGGCTCGCGAGCGTTTGGCGTAGCGAAGCCGCTTCGCCCTTAATTATCCCGTCGGACCCAGCGACGCGAATTTTACGGGCGCTACGTGTTCGTCCGTTGTAGAGAAAGAGAGAGAGAGAGAGAGAGAGAGAAACCGCGCGTTAACACGGTTTTCCGCGCGAGAAGAAAGTGTTTTCCACATACTGGCTCGCGCGGACTTACGCACGTGCACGTGTGTTCCCCCCCCCCCCCGCTATGAGTCCATTTGTGCGCGGTTCACGCGCGCGCATGCGAGATGTGAAATCCGGGGCGATAGGGCGATCAAATGAACAAGCGTGGAGAGCCCACGGCTGTCGTTAAGTTAATGCGGCCCCTTCGGCCGTTTTTCTGCGGATTTGTTTTTAGCCGGGCCGGGCCGGCCTGGCGCGATAGCATTCAGTCGCGCATAATTGGTGTCATTAGCTTGACGACGGTGACCGTTGCACAATCGGCGTGCGCTCTGAATGTTCGCGGGATTACCCGCGCGCGCTGCCGGAAGCGCGCTCGTGCTCGACGCAGCCGCGCTACTGAGAAACCGGTCTGTCATCTTCCGCCCATTTACATAAGCGCGGACTGCCTCGTTCGAATAATCGGAGTGGGAGGGGGGCCAAGGAGTTAATTAACCCCCTCGGGACGGGCCCGCGATCGCCACGAATTATTTCGCACCGCGTGTCAGCCACCGCGCTGTCGATTAGGCTCACTTTCCGTGTTTGCGCGGATATTCCGATAATAGCCGTGTAATCGTCTCGCGATTATGATATAAAAAGAAAGTAATATCCCGTATGCCCGTCCGTCCTCCCGTGTCCGCCGAGGGAAAAGACCGTGAAGAACGTATCAATCATCTCACACGAATGAAGGCTAGTGCAATGTAAAATCATAGCAATTAATGTGCCAATCGGAGAAACGCGATACACCTCGCTTTCATCATATCGTAATGCATGTTCATGACGGACGACCTTTCGATCGCGACCCCACCCCTTGTC